AAAAAAAAAAAAAATGAATTTAAAACATTGATAATTTTTGTGAGAAATTCAAATTATACTAGCCTTGGTTGCCAAATAAAACTCTGGTTTCGGTCTTTTTTTCCCCTCTAAATTTTTTTAGTCTAGACCATTAGGTTTTAAGAACGTTGGCTGGCTGGTAACTGTCGCTTAGCCTATACAGATATGTATATTGTTGTTGCTTTTGCTACTGCTATTAGCTTTGTCCTTTTTTTGTTTATATCAATTTTCTTTTTTTTTTTTCATATATTGCTTCTCTAATAATAGCGATTAAAAATTTAAATGAGCAGTTTTTTAAAGTCGAATTAACGTTTATCAACTACTTAATTGCTCAATATCAAAAATCTGAAAAAAATCTTTATATGACTGCAGAAAAAACAGCAAAAAAATGTTTTTTGTTTTTTTTTCTGCTATATAATTTTATATAGTTTTACAAAAAGATATGTTATTTTTTCTTTAAATGAGGAGATTGAAACACATATCAATTGAGATGAAGACAATGCGTAAAAAAAGAAAAAGCAATACTTCTTTTTTTTTTTCTCAGATGAAAGTGTACATTGGTTATTTATGAACACATTTAGTGAATGTATGACATTTACATATAATCTTCACCAAGTTGTTGTATCTTCCTTATTTTTTTCTTCCATATCTATTGCTTTCTAATATCGTTGTTACCGTTGCCGTTGATAAGCGGTAACGAAAAGGCTAACAGGTGAGATATGTCAGGATGGTTGAAAAGCTTCATTTCTTTTAGGCTTACTTCTACCAAAAACACCCGATAATGGCAGTGATAATAAATGACTGAAGGGCAATAATTAGTAAATGTGTCATGAGGAGAAATTTTTGTAAAAGGAATATTTAAAAGTACCCTTATTATTGTCAACGTCGTTGCCTTCGTCGTTGTCGTAACCGTCACTGAACAGTTAGTTACCTGAGCAGCAAATCATTTGGTTGGCTTATCCGTTCGTGCAGTTTGACTTGGCCATTGTAGATGCACTGCTGGCACCATTAAAAGTTCTGAAGCTCCAAAACTTTCTCCTTTGTCGTTCACTGAAATTGCCAAATTCTTATAAATAATTAAACTGCAAAGAAAAAAAAAAAAAAAAGCAGAAAGGAGGAAAAAAACAAACAATAGGAATAATTAAAGTCAGAATAAACAGAAAAGCAAAAAAAAAAGTTGTAAGTGAAAAGAAGTGGATAAAAAAAGGAACTACTAAAAGCAGTGAGGAGGATAATTCAGCTATGTCATTAACCAAAAATGATTACAAACGATTTGCAGTGTCGCCCGAACGGCGACCACTATGTTTCGATTTGCGTCGAAAGGTTTGTTTCCTCGAAACTTTTCACACCCGTTTAATGTCAAATGTGTTCCCCATTTCCTCCTTACCCCGTAGACTTTGATTTGATAACCTTTTTTCCTTTTTTTTTTTTTTTTTTTTCGCTTTTACTGCTGCTATTGCTGCAATAAATGAGGGGATAAGAAAGAAGAAAAAAGAAACAAATAAAGCTTGTCTTCTTTTATACTTTACTGCTATTGTTGTTGTTTCTTCCAAAAGATTATATTTGTCGCCAAAAGATTTAAATTAGCCAACCCATAAAAGTATTATCACCGCTATTATCAGATTATCAATTGTCTATTGATTACACGAAGAGATTTGATGATAATGGCAATAATGATATTTTTTAAGCATCTAAGTATTTTAGATGGTTTTCATCATCTTTCTTTTCTGTTATTTTTCGTTTTTTCTTCATCTTCCTGTTCGTCTTCTTTTTCGTCATCAGTATTGTCTCAGTCCCCCAGTCCTCTTCCTTCTGCGGATTGTAACTGAGATGATGCTATAGAATAAACTATGCGAGATAAAATGCGAAATAGTTGCTAGAAGAAGAAAAAAAAATTTTTTTTCAACTTGCATTTTAGTAATCGCTTATTGAATGTTTAATTAGAAAAAAAACTATTTTTAAAGCATTAAAAGCAGTTGCCTTTGATCTTTCAAACGTCTCCTCCTTCTTTTCCTTCCAATTTTGTTACGTTTTTTTTTTTTTGTTTTTTTTTTCAGTTCAAATTTGACGACGGAAATCCATAACTTTGTTTTGCTTCCTTAAACAAACGATGATTTTTACTTTTCTCCAGTCTTTTTTCTGTTTTTTTTTTCTGCAGCAGCTTGACTAACTTTTGAAAAGAATTTTTTTGTAAAACTCTAAACTTTTAAATTCACTTTGTTTCTGCTCTAAAAAGACAAACCCTGCAAACTACTGCTGATGTGCTGTTTTTTAGGAACTTCAAAAAATAAATTTAATTACTGAACAGAATATACTAAGAGGAAAACAAACAATTTTTTTCAGACACAGTTTATAGTAACAGAAAGCTGTTCAGCAATAACTT